ACCCTGCTAACTATGAAACTATGAGTGTCATTTGCAAATCAAGGGAAATGTTTTGTCTGTTCTATTGGCATTGGTAAGGTCTCATACCTGGAGTACTGAGTCCAGTTTTGGGCCCCACACTTCAAGAAGGACATGAAAAGATTAGAATAGGTCCAGCACAGAGTAACACAAATGATTAGAGGCCTGGGGAACATGACCTATGAGGAAGGGCTGGAAGAATTAGGGTTATTTAGTTTGGAGAAGAGAAGACATAGGGGAAATTTAATAACAGTCTTCAAATACCTGAAGGGTAATTATGGAGGGTGCCTGGGCCAGATTAACCCCTTTGTGGGCCCTAGGCAAACAAATTCATGGGCCCCTACTTAATACTATATATTCATATTCCTTTTTTTACTCAATAATTATAACATGTAAAATAAGCATAACTGTGCCCCTTCTTCCCTTAGGGCCCTAGGCATGTGCCTAGTTTGCCTATGCATTAATTTGACCCTGGAGGGTGCAAATGGTATTCATGGAACTCAGTTTAGGTTTAGGGAGTTAATTTTAAGCTGCTTAAACCTAACCTAGAGCAGCACATGCAGGTGTTATCTGCTGCCAGAAGTGGCATGAGCAGCCTGAGGTAAATAACTTGGCGGGGAGAGCAGAGCTGGTGGATCTGGTGGGAGCTGATGGGTTCAGTAGGCTGGCTCATCTTGGTGGTGGTGGGGAGGGGGCATGTTACCTGGTTTGGGAAGGTAGGAGGCTAAAAATAGCTTAGTCAGGGTTGGAGGGGTAAAAATAGCACAGCCCTAGGTTTGAGACAAGTAGCTGGCTTTCCAAGCCCGGGGCTGAGCTGTGGACACACACAGTTGTTCACTGGACTAGGTCAACCCATTTTAGATAGGGCAACTCAAGTTGATCTAAAGCTAGTTCATCTCTGAGGTGATCTTGGATTGGGCATTCGATTTTTAGGGCACTTTAAGATCTCAATGCCTGCACACCCAGCCATGTAAATCTATCTAAACTTGGTTAGGTCAATCTAAATGTAATGCTTGTACTTACCTGGGGAGGACTGAAATGGACTTTCCTCTGTGGCTACAGGGGACAGGACTAGGATCAATGGTCTCAAGCGACAGCAGAAGAAGTTTAAGGTGGAAATTAAGAGGAACTTTCTGACTATGCAGGTACTCAAGAATTGGAAGAGACTACCTAGAGAAGCTGTGGAAACTCCATCCCTGGAAATTTTCAAGGGCAAGTTGAACAGACATTTGGCTGGGGTGGGTTGATCCTGCCTTGAGCAAAGGGTTAGATTAGATAAGGCTGTGAGGTTCCTTCTAGCCATAAGTTCCTATAAACCTATGATTCTATACCACCTCATCCTAACCACCACGATTTTTTTTTGAATGAGATGACCACTCCATCAATCCCTTGAAAATTTTGCCTTTTAAAAAGTTTGTCAGAGAAAACATTACTTCATAATTTGCAGTACTCCACAGAGCATGTGTATGTAATAGGGTTTTTGAGTTATCTGAAATAGTTATTAATTTATCCAAAGCAACTGGCTGTTTTGAAGTACAGTCACTGTATCTTTGTCCTATTTACTATTATTGCATTGCTAATCTATTTTGTATTCTTATCTCCTGTTAAAATATTTACCCATTTAACCAGAAAAATTATCTTTAATAAGTCAGTCATGTTTAATCAACATGCAAAGAGTTGTTAATGTTTCATGTTGTTCATGTTAATTCATATTTGAACTAATTTAATAGGAATAAGTAAAACAGAGCATTCAATTATCTATAGGGACAATTTTATCAGTATCTAAAAATCCTTTTTATTTTTTTAAAAAAGGACATACACTGTGCATTGTAATATTTCATTATATGATGACAAGTGCTGAGAATTAAATGTACTGAAAGCTGAGTATTTTGCAATGATGTCATGTTTACATAGGATAAGTAAAATATATTAAACCAAAAATATAACACAGATGGGATGAAACAACTTCTTTCTGGCTATTACTATTACATGACAATAGATCTCATAATAATAATATCACCATAAGCATGCTACTCAATAGTTGAATATCTATGCTGTGAACCAAAAGGGCTCATGGTCTGGGACCACTGTACAGACACAGTGACTCAGTAATGTCACTGAGCTTCACACAGGATTCTTATTTGTTCATGTTGGTCTCACTTCAGGGCCTAATTACAGTGTAATTTAAACAATTTTACCTTTCTCTTTGATGACAGCTGGAGGCTTTACTTCTTTTCCTTTTGTGGCTTCTGGAAAAAAAAGTATAATTATTATGCATACACAGGCAAGGAAGAGGGAATTCAGAACCAGGATACAGTAAAAAGAATAACCAGTAATTTTAGGTGATGTTTTGTGTTATAAAAGCAGGGTTGTTGTATGTGTGCTTTCCTATCCTTTAATTCTATAAAACACTATTCCTTTAAGAGAAGCAGTAGATATAGGAAGATTACATACTTCATGGAAGAAGTATGTAATGAAGGAGACTTCAATGAGAAACTAAGCGTATGCAGTACGCTGTATTGTAGCTGCATAGGTATGCAACTCCGTATTTGCACACCTGAGTGTAAGTCCTGAAATTCTTGTGTCGAGTAGGAGGAAGAGGGACAAGGCCCTCCTGGGTTATTACCCCTGATTATCTCAGTGGTTAGGGCACTTGTCCAGGAAGTGGACAACCCAGCCTCTAAGCTGTCATCACCAATACGAGATTTAAAGATTTGTCTCGCTGATTTCCCAAAACAGTGTTCTAATGACCATCCCTTTTCCAGCAGTCTTTTTGAAGTTGAGCCACTGCACCTTGCATTTGATATTCCTTGGACAAAATGGACGGAGAGCAATGGAGAAGCATCTGTCCTATTGGTAGCAGGGCCTCCTCCCTTCCTGAGCAGAAGACATCTTGTTTTCCTTTCCCTCTAGCCTCACATACCTCACTCTCTTGGATGCCTGAGGAGCCAGCTTTAGAAGGAGCACTGATTAGGGGACTAGATAGTAGCTAACTTCCTGTGTGGTGGTTTGAGCACTCTGCTGGGAAAGCTGGGAAATGCAGGTTCAACCCCCCTCTGTGTAAGTGGGGCCACGGATCTTGGTCTCCTGCTTTCTGGGTGAGTGCCCTATTCCCTCAGCTACTGGGGCTAAAATGTGTGAAGGTCATTCTTCTCCTCCTTCCCCATCATAAGGGTTTTCCAAGTAGAATTTCATGGACAGTGCAGGTACAGAGCTGTGTACCTGCCTGACAAAGCAGGCAGCAGTTGTGGGAATGCTTGTCCTCCACATTGCACACAGAATAGCCTCACAAGCTGTGCGTAAATGCCAGCAATGTCACCTACATGACTGGATTCTGGCCTTAGTAATTTAGACTTTCTAATGCATAGTTTTACCTTTTTCTTTGACAACAGCTGGAGGCTTCACTTCTTTCTCTTTTGTAAGCTCTGAAAAAGCCATCAGAGAGAAAAAATGAAGCAGAGAGGTAATACTGTTACATACTTATACACTATCTAGAAATATGCAATAGAATAATTCAAAACATGAAACAAATCAAAGACTAGCATGAGAATCTGTTAGGAGTCCAAAACAGCTCAGATCATTAAACAGTTCAATTTGGGATCTGAAGGCCGAACAACACTCATTCCTATAAGGCTACTGTCATCTTGAATAGATGCAAACCATTCCTTATGTAGTCTGAGCATCCTCACTGCTTTTAACCGGCTTGAAGAGGTATCACTAAAGACCAAATGTAACCGTATAATTGGAACTGAGGCTCAGATACAAAGAAGGACTCAAGTGCCTAAAAATTATTTAGGAATCAAAGAAAACTATAATCAAAGAAAACCCTGCTCAGCAGCTACTTAAACTGGACATGTCTAAACTCACCCCATAATATGCTCTTGGACCCAACAGTTCCCTTGGTACCTTTAATTTTGCCTTCTTTGTACGAAAAGAATAGCCCCAGTTTGGACCACTAGTGCTTAGCTCCAGCCTAAGCTTTATTTGCATCCAGAAATCATCCTGAGTGGCACCTATAGCCCATGAAAGTCTCAGTTCAGTAGGTGTTCCCAAAGCATGTGCAATTACATTAATTTCAGCACAAAACACAGCAGCCTGTCCAATTGCATTCAAATCATGTCTCCTTGTACCTGTCTTTTGTACAATAATCTAGCGATGAGCACACTTATATTGAAGATGTATTTTCTAAGCTGTCCACACCCTGACAGCATTAAGACACAGAGTGGAAAAGTGCCCAGACCACCAGGACTAGGGTAGGTAGGAGAAGGGAAACTGTCCACCGCTCTTTCTTTCTGCTGAACTATGACCATTTTGCAGCAAAGTCTTAAAGATTTATGTGAGCAGAAAGAGAGCAAAGAAGGAGCCTGACTGTATCAGATTGGTTAGGGTTCATTAGTGGGAAAGCAGTGTCTTTGGATTCTAGTCGCTCATACCAGCTACTTTTCTGGCCTCACAAATATTAGTCTTCCTTACAAAGAGGCCCAGCTTCAACAAGAAGGGTAGAAAGTCCCTGTTCTGTCTAGCTCTAATGGCTAATGCACTTTCTTGTGGAGAGGTGGGTTATAAGACCTCCAAGCTAAGGCAAGTTTTATAAGCCAGGTCTCTTACTTCCCGGTCAAGTATTTGAACCACCCAGTTATTATATAAAAGGCAGATATAGGTACCTCCACCTCCTTTTTAAATTTTTTTTTATTTTTTTAAGAATGAGCCCTACTCAGTTTCTTCAAAGTAGACTTCTTTGTGCCTGTCCTCAGAAATGGACTCTGTGTTTGGAACTTATTTGAAAAAAGCTGTCTGCCTTGATTCACATTCCTAAGCTCCAGAGAGGTAGGGCTGTAGATATGACCAGGTGCTTAGCATTTCCTAGTTACTAGCTCTCAATATCTTCCCTGTAAGAATGTAGGTTTTCTGAATCACCTTTCTAAGATGCCATGGTGCTTAACATAGGTTTTGGATTCCGCTTCAGGGGCTGGCCACCTAAAATGTGGGTGTGGAGAAAGATCTATGCATTTGACCATTAGTTAACAGTTCTGTTAGGGGTTCAGGAGAAGGAGGCAGCTCTGGCTTAGACTCTAGTAGCTGCACTGGCTCTGCAGATGAGAAAAGAGCAAACAAGTAGCAAATCTTTATTTTGGTTTTGTATTCAGATATCATTATGTGCATGTAAAGGGATCACAGCTACTGACTAAGATGCCTGTTTTAGTCACTTGTGAGAGAAGGTGTGAAGTGCAAGGTATTGTACAGAGGCAATAACAGTGAGGACAATTGGCTATTTCATAACTATGTAGTTATAAGAATTACCCTTTTCCTTTGCAGCTGTTGGAGGCTTCACTTCTTTTCTTTTAACAGACTCTGGATGGAAACATTTAGCATTTAGCAGAAGTCAGGATAGAGAACTAAGATGCCACATCAGAAGAAAAAACCTCAGATAATTTGATATAGAGAAAGAAAAGCATTCAGATGTGATAATTAAATGAATTTAACAGCATAGAGGTAAGAAGCAGAAAAATATAAGAAAGCCATTCATTAGTCCTTTTATACTTAGTTTGATATGTAAAATAACAAACCTAGAGTGGGCCAGTATTTCTTTTGTATTCAGAGGAGATTGTTAGATTGTATCTCAGAGAGGAAATAACTATGATTTAAGAAAAAAATGAAAGCAATTTTATAGACTGGTTGGCATCAGCAATGGATGTTTTTAGTTACTAAATCCAAATGCAAAATTAGCACACATTGATGTAGGTACAATGTTAGCTATGTTAGATCTGAAAGCCAGAAATGGGTAAGCAAGGGTTTTCTTCTTTCTGGGCGTCACAAAATTAGATGTCATTCTTCATGCAGGAAATTCTTTAATATAAAAAAGTCAATATGGGTATTAACTGAGAACAGAATTTTACTTCCTGCATATATATCGTTCTTATAATCAAAAAGATAAAATGGATATGTGCTGAGAACACAATTTGTTCAGTTAAAGAACATTTAGTTTAACATTCAGCATGTATCATGCAACTTCATTATAATGAATCCAGCTAAACAATCCCGTTTTTAAGAACCCCAACACAAGAACGTTTTTGGTATTACTGTGAGGTAACAATTGAACTAATCGTATTATAGTGAATACATTATTTTAATGAATTTTCTCACAATTCTATGGGGGTTCATTATAATGAGGTGGTACTGTACTTACATGCTTTGCTGTTCTAAGCCCTCAATCACATGAACTCAACTTTCCTTCACTGGATACCATGAGGAGAATTTGATTTCAAGGTCCTTCATGTCACAGATCTAGTCTTAGCTCTGTAGGTTTGCTGTTATTTTAATGCCACATATGAAACTTTTAATAGAGCGACTTAGAATTGTCTTTCAAACTGTATTTTCTATTTAAAAAAATCATACACAATCACTATTTTTAACCTGGAATATTGCAAAAAACAGTATTGATTTTTTTCCATAAGTAAAATTTAAATGAAATACTTTGTTATGGGTTGAGGTGATCAGAATAGAAACATTTTGCTTGTAGCCTTGACATAGTTTCAATGAAGACTCCTTCCCAATAATGTATAGATATTCAGTTATGCAACTTATGAACCCCTGCAATCACCTTTCTCCTTTGACACTTCTGGAGTCTTCAGAGGTTTTTCTTTTACCGGCTCTGCAGAGAAATACAGTGGAATTCAATGTTAAGGACTTTAAAAAACTAACATCTCCAACAAAGGATGGCATGAAAAGCTAAACTCATGATCAAATGATGTAACACTAGTCCTTTCCTAACATCCTCTACTGTAGCTGTCATCACCTTATGGTTTGCACCCCTGATTATGTTATTTGATTACTTAGCTTGGGCTGCTGTATCTGCACAGAGCTCTATGCAAGTACATGGGACTCTGTATAGATGCTGGTTTCTATGTGAGTGGATGTAAGTGAATCATTGGAAATTCTTGTGACCTGATACAAAATCCATTGAAGGCAACAGGCATCCTCCTGTTGACTTCAAAGAGCTATGGAACAAGTCCTTGGATTTACTTGCTCAGAAAGCATGCATGGTTAAGTAAAGTACAGTAAGTATAGACATTGTGTTGGTTATATACCTTAAAATATGGCACACATCTTACTAAAAGCCATATACTATTGGTACTGATATATTGACCCCGTAAGTATGAAGAGCAATGAGTATTTGGAAGGGTTAGATGGGCGTTGATTTGCTTTTTCAAATCAAGGAAATATTTTCATCTTTTTCGAATGTCACTTATTTGGAATGAGAGAACATTACAGCTTGCAGGAGCGCTAATTAGTGTCAGTTATAATCCTGATATGGCATTTAAATGTCTAACTGAACATCATGTCCTTGCAGGAATTACAGTAAGCTTTGAATAAACTAATGCTAACTAAATCCCCTGTAGTAACAGATTATACTAATAGAAGATTTTCTCTAAACTAGATTTAAAACCTAGTTTACTCTCAAGTGCTCAAGTCCTGTTTATCTTCCTCCCCAAATCTGAGAACTTGCTGTCAAAGATCTGCTTTAGTTCACCCCTAAATTCAACCCAATCTTAGACATGGAGTTTGCTAAAACAAATTCATTTCCAACATGGATAGCTCCTTAGATTATATGCACCCATCTCATCTGGGAGACCTAGCAGCCACTGTCACCAGAACCAGAGATTAGATGCAGGGTCCTAAATAAACCTCCCCACTTTATCTCATGCTGTGATGGATAAGCATCTGGTGACACATGGCCTCACTGTTTATCCCTTTCCACTGCAGAAGCCCTCTGTGAGTGCTGCAAGGTGTATAAACCTTTAAGAAAGTTCAGCACACTCTAAAAAGTAGGAATTCAGCAGCAACTAGCAGTGGTACCTGGGGCAAAGCAAGATGCACTGCCTTACTCTTCATGAGTCAAAACTTCGGTGGAACATTACTTTAGCTGCCCCAAGAGCAGCTCAAGAGTCCAAAGGATGACAGCTTGCACTGTGCTCTAACATCTATCAATGACTGAAGTGTTCCCTGCTGGCCCCAGCAGCAGGAAAATATCTACACAGCATAAAGCCACACTTCCTTTCCCTATACCCATGCTGGTCTTTCATCAAACGTAGACTTATTTCAGATGAAAATCTGTGTTCCTGTGATTTCAGGATAGGAACAAGCAGCAGTACTCAAGCTCATCAGAATAAAGATGTTGTTTACATGCAAATAGTACAAATAAGTTGGGAAAAGAAAAGAAGAGGACATATAAAATGGAAAAAGACACTGCTTATATCAATGAACCTTTAAATTTACGTATAGGTGACCTTCATACGATAAAGTTTGATTGTAAAGAAAAATACTTTCTGCAGATGCGACAAATTGTGCCATTGAAAGCTACAAATTTTTTTTTACTGCAAATGAGCTATATATAGTGCATAGCAAGTGTGATAAAATACCAACCAAGAGAAACAGCACATATTTTTACTTTAATGACAAGATCCAACTATGTGTAAATTACAAAAAAGGGTGCAAAATACTGACTCTTTTCCATGTGTCCATATAGAAAAATAAATACAGCTCTTCCATGTACATAAGTGACATAAGAAAAAAATCATGAAGATATCCTAAGACACAACAGAAGCAAACAAGAAAGAAAGCTGGGTATTCATTTGGGAAGCAAATCATGTAGCACACAGTGTGAATTTAGATTATCTGTACAACACATAGGCTGTCAGTTTAATACCCTTGTGTAATGCAAACCTAGTAGCTTTTTTAGAAATATCAATAGTCGTGTATGTTCTACAGTTCGCTCTCAGTATTGGTGTTAGTGACACTGAATGAAGAAGCTTTTAATCTGACTAGTCAAGATTGCCATAAAAGATATGTACAGAGACGTATACCTCAGCAGCTTATTGGCCTCAGACTAATCTATGTTGGTGTCCATCAAAATTAATCCCCAAAGGAAATTGTTTAATGAGTTTCTTCATTTCAAGACTAAAAACCTAGTGTTATTTCTAAAAATAAATCTTTAATTTATTATTATTTTCTCCCAGGAAGATATTTCTTATATGGAATAAAATATATTCCTCTCATGGTCTTGTAAACTGGAGAACTGCTATGGCCCCATAAATCTTGGGCTCCAGGGTTTCCAGCAGAGAAGAAAAGGAAAATCATTCAGGATGTAGTCTGGTGATTAGAGAATATTTCTGAAAGGAAGGAGATGTGGGTTTGAATCCCTAACGCTGGGCTGGGGAATCTCTCACTTCCCAGTCAAGTGTTCTAACCCTTAAGCTAGCGGTCAAAAGGCAGGCACCTTCACCATTTCTAAGATGAACTGCTTGTATGATGACGGTGTCACTCAGTTGTCGGGCATGCTCTGTACTTGCCTATAGTGATGGAGAGTTAGATGAACTTCAATCACTTCCCAGTACCAACCTCAATCACAATGGATCTTAAGCACCCATGTAATTTAATTACTCTGTCTTTTATAAGCCTGTGGTTACATTTTGTTAGGTACCTATGAGAATGATTTCAAACTGGCCCATGGTGACTAAAAAAATTATTTTCAGAAGTAGATTACATAAAGGGCAAATGACTAGGGCATTAAAGGAATATCTCATTAACCTTTCTAAATTATGACTAGTTTCAGGAATGAGGGCTCTACTGGACTGGGAAGAAACAAATGAATGAGACATTTGAAGAATACCAGCAGCATCTACATGTTGCCCCATGGTGATGTAGCAACACACTACATCACTCCTCAGAAATCTTTTGTTTTTCCTGGTTGTTAACCATTTTACTGATATGTTCCAACTTAGTTGAAATTGATAACCTCTTGTTACTGAGGAAAGTAATTCAATCAAAACTGGGACTTTCTGATCACCAATAATGAACAGTTTGATTAACAGGATTTTCCTGTTAATTACTGCTTGGGATTCTCGTAATTTACACAGCTACAGAAATGCTTTGAAGACAGTGAGCTAAAGGGTATAAAAGAGGACCAAAATAGCTAACAAGGCACACTTCAAGAACGAGAAATCATTCTGACAAAAACTGCTGCTGAGCCCAACTGATTGTCTGGTGAATGGATCCATGCCTTGAGAATCTGAAAAAACTAAGACTGCTTTTTTGCCTGTATTGGTGAGAAGCTATCACTTTTTCTGCTAAAAATACTGGACTTTGCTATGCTTTAAGCTCATCTATCAGTGAGTACTTGTAGTAAATAAAGCCTTACTGTCATTCATTGAATGAGTTACCATGTCAATCCTTTATATGCTAGTCCTGAACCCCATTCATGACCTAACAATACAGCAACTGTAGGTATGGAGGTATGTTGTGAGAGGGTGATGGGCTGATTTTGTTGCTAAATATACAGCTGTGAAGCAGATGAACACTTGGGAATGTTTTAGGAATAGCAGATAATTCAAAATAGTAGTAACTGGGACTTTTAAAGATTGTGCTGCCATATAGAACTGTCAGATGCAAAAATACAGGATCACAGTATAAGATCTGACCTGTGTTCTGGAAGATCACTGTGAGTAAATTAGGAAAAGCTATTAAGTACTGCAGTGATGGGTTCATTAGGTACAAATAACAAAACCGTCTGGATGATACTTTGTCCTGTTTATCCATTAGGTGAATCCTATCTGAGTTTCTTCCGAAGGCTTGGCATTAATGGAATAGGTATATATGATTCCAGGTATCTAATGAGAGGGAAAAAGAATCTACCAAAAAACCTAAGTTCAGATCCCCATTGTGCTATATATTAGGCATTTTTATTCTAATCTATCATAAATAGATATATTTTGGGTAATCCCATCCTTAGAAGAGTCTCTGTAGAATATGTTCTTGACAGTCCCTTTGTAGATATTTGAAAATTTCCTGCTGAGCTGGCCCACTGTGATGTTTTGTAACACTGGTAGATGCTGATTTACTGCTGTCATCTGATGACAAGTGTACTAGTTCCTAAAGCAACCTTTTTGTAGCATGGGGCTGACCATACTCCTCTATCTGTTGTCATAAAATGCTGCTGTTGTGGTGTTCATTGTTATCTGGAGCTGTAGGGGATAAGTAGAAATATTATGTGCACCGGATGAATAGCTCTGAGATCTAGCATTTATGCGAAGATGAGTCTCCTGAAGTGTTCAAAGGCCTTGAACCTCCAAATTTCCATCAGCAACCTCTTGGTGTGGCAAGGTGGAGAAAATTATACTGATGCATACATGAAAAAGGTTCTTCTATCGATTTAATGGTGAAATAACTGCTTGGGGGATCTGCACATACATGTCCATGTGTTGTAGTCTAAATATTCATAGATTTCAACCAGCATTGCATGGAGCATAGGTGAAGTCTAGCAAGCAAGTGTAAGATGTGCAACTCAGATTTAGAGACAGCGGTACATGAGCACAGTTATGAACTTCACCAGGGTTTGGAATCTGTCCTGTGGTAGATAAGATCTTGCTGATGAAGATACTAACACACCTCCTATGACACAGTCTTAGGGTCAGTAAGGGTTATGAATATTTTTTCTTGTTCCTAAGCCACGCTATAATGAAAAAGTGTAGAATTAAGCAAATTGCACTGATCTTTCTCAAATTAGGTCCTCACTCAAGTAAGTTCACACATAGATCTTTTGTTTCCACAGGTAAGACACCACAACTACCAACTTTGGGGCAGAAACCTATTTCACTTTGCTTCCTGGGCACTCAAGAGAGACACATCTCAGGTCAGGAGGAGGGAAACAACCTAGCAAGTGTGCGCCTCAGAAAGATGTTCTCTGCCCTGGAGGGGACCCTGGGTTCTAGCCTGAAACCTTTTCCCAATAAGGCAGAAACTTCCCCACTGTATTACCCGAAGAACCTTGCCTGCCTATGTCCCTAGACCAACACAGTTACAACCCATACCCACTGTATCAAATGAATGCTGAAGAAAAGGTGTAGTGGCTCAGCTTCAAGCAGAGGACTGAATAATGACCAACTTGTGATCTGGTTGTTAGAACACCATGTTGGGGAAAGTTCAAACCCATTCTGGATGAGAGGGACTAGAACTTGGGTTACCCATTTCCCAGACAAGTCCCCCTTCTACTAAGCTAAGACACAGGAGGTCCACCCATATCATCATTTTTATCATGCTATAAGTAGGCTTTATACTCAAGCACACGTCTGGAGATTTGTACATGCTGAGCCAGAGTACAGCTTGCTGTGCATGTTCAGTAGCTGTGTGAAGATTTACACCTTCACCCTGCACATGGAACAGAGCTACAAACTGGGTACCTGTGCCAAAAATAGACATTGCTATGGGCACATAAAGTGAAATACAATATAATATAATTGGACCTAGACAGGTTACAGGGGTGGGTGGATGAGAATTGGATGGGATTCAACACTGACAAGTGCAAGGTGATGCACCTGGGGAGGAAGAATCAGCAGCATACAGTACCTGGGGACTCCCTTCTTTTCAGTGTAGAGGCAGAAAAGGATCTTGGAGTCATCATTGATGCCAAGATGAACATGGGTGGGCAGTGTGGGGATGCAGTCAGGAAGGCCAACCCCACCCTGTCACGCATCCACAGATGCATCACGAGCAGCTCCAAGGAGGTGATCCTCCCCCTCTATGCGACACTGGTCAGGCTGCAGCTGGAGTACTGCATCCAGTTCTGGGCGCCGCACTTCAAGAGGGATGTGGACAATATGGAGAGGGTCCAGAGGAGGCCACTTGCGTGATCAGGGGACAGCAGGGCAGGCCCTACGAGGAGAGGCGAAGGGACCTGAACCTGTTCAGCCTCCACAAGAGAAGGCTGAGGGGGGAGCTAGTGTCCTGTTACAAACTAGTCAGAGGGGACCAGCAGTCATTGGGGGAATCGTTGTTCCCTCGAGCACTACCAGGAGTGACTAGAAATAACAGTCACAAGCTGGCAGAGGGTAAATTCAGATTAGACATCAGGAAGCGCTACTTCACTGTCAGGGCGGCTAGGATTTGGAACCAACTTCCAAGTGAAGTGGTGCTGGCTCCTACCCTGGGGGTCTTTAAGACAAGGCTAGACAATCACCTTGCTAGGGTCGTTTGGCCCCAGTACTCTTTCCTGCCATGGCAGGGGGTCGGACTTGATGATCTGCTCAGGTCCCTTCCGACCCTACTAACTATGAAACTATGAATTCTGGCTTTGCTGAATACGCATGGTGATATTAAACTTGGAAGTATCCGTTTGAAATTCTGCCATATCAAAAACATTTTAGTACAGCTCATGACAACGATTGGGTTACCAAAAGTCTAAAGACATCATGGATTTCTGCTCCTCTCTGTATTCTTGTGGGCAGCTTTCTATAACGTGTTATATTGTGACAGAAGCACCAGGTAAGTAGGTTTGAATAGATTTTTCAACCAAGTAAATCCACTATTTTGGGTCTTTCCCTCTTGGCATTATCTTTGGGGGCTTTACCTCTTTGGATCGTTACCACTATAATATGTAATCCAGAAGTTGGATGGATAGGAGAATATTCAAAGCCCTTAGAGGGGAACTGATATTTTCTTTATGTGCTTTCTTAGGCTCTATAGATGCTGGTATCAGATACTTGTCCCTCCCTCCTCTCCCTAAGTTCTAGTAGCTCTTCATTAATGGGCATTGCAGTCTTCCAAACATGAAGGAGAATAGAAGGCCCAGTAACGTGTGTAAGAGGCTAAGCGTGGAAGGAATCACTGCCTTTCTTGCTAAGGAAAAAGATACTCATACTGGAATCAATGACTTTTTCACTTTCTGCTCTTGTACTTCTTCACTGTCCTGTACTGGATGGTGCATTTTGCATGACTGAACCACCTGACTCTCTTATCTTACTAACTGTTATGCACCCCAAGGGATCTTGTGTAAATGGATTCCATAGAGTATTGATCACGGGTTTGTTGGTTGGATACAAGGGAAGTGTTCAGGCTCCTTATAAAGTGGGAGCTAAGTGAAAAAGTAGGGCATACCTCTTTACTATGTTTAGAAGGGGAAAAATAAAATAAATAATCCTCTTCTGAAGTCCTAGCTACCCTGTTTGGTAGGGGTGACCTTGAATCATCTCTCCCACCAAAACTGGAGAGAGAACCATTGCCAGAGCAGTACTAGTAATTAGTCCAAAAAAGAAAGCCTGATAATAAAGGAGAACACAGACTTATTGTATAATTACCAGCAAGATCACTTGGCCACAAGTGCATTTGTACAGCAGGTACAGACACTGGCATCATGGGGATCATTGAATCCAAGTACATTGCTACTACTAGCAAGAGGCTGGGATGCCACTAACTGTAGATTACTGTGTCATGTGGCTCAAGGCATCGAAGGAACCTGATTTGAATGATTGTCTACCTTTTTGTTGACAGGCCTTGAGGAGATTTTTGCCTCATTTTACTACATCCCAGAGAGAATGACCTAAGCCTGCCTACAATGTAGGAATATATTCCTCCTACTCACTTCAGATAACTGAGAAAATGAGTGTTCAGCTATTTTGTTAGTCTTGGTCACCAAAGTCGTTGATCTTGCAGAGTAAGATTGAAGCCTGGGAACTCAAAACAGATTCAGAGCTCACAGGAGCACTCCCTGAGGAAATCCATTCAGTCCTGGTAGGTCCATTTTTGTTTGGTTTTGAGGAGGCTTTCATCAATTGCTCCAGGAGAAGCAGTTTAATATGGACCTCTTTCATTGTCCTTTAAGAGGAGGAAACACTAAGCACCTATCAGAGATAGGTGACTTTTTTTCACCTGAGAGAAATTAAAAAGCAGCTCAAGAACCAATTAATAAGTAGAACAAGAGAGGAACACTTCTGGGAAATTTGGCAAGGGGACATACTAGGCCATCCCATGCACAGGGCTGTTCCTGACTATGTGTAAGAGTTGTCATCAGAAGTGGGATCCGTGTGGATTCATTCGAAGAAGAATTGTGTCGTTCACATGGGTATCTGTGATATAGCAGTCTAATTACTAAACACTGGGCAAATGATCATAATTACCAAGAGTTGAGAATATAGACAAAGTTATGACTAGTTTGTCCATTAGGTGAATCCTATCTGATTTTCTTCAGAATGGCATTAATGGGATCCATGAGTCAGTGTCTAATGAGAGGAGAAAAGCAATTCAGTCACTGTCTGTTTTTTCAAAGTTTCCTTCCTTATACATGGTGCATTTCTACATAAAAAGAAAAAAACCTCTGAATGTTTCATTCAGTTCTCTGTTTGAAATAACTATATCCTTGTCCTGTCCCCTGCAGCTACAGAAAACAGTCTATCTCCATCTTCTTTATAATCACCCTTCAGGTATTTGAAAACCGTTATCAAATCCCCTCAGCCTTCTCTACTCCAAACTAAATAATCCCAATTTGATCAGTCTTTACTCATAAATCATATTTCCCAGGTGGCTAATCTTTTTTTTTCTCCTTGAAATATAGCTACAAGGTTGAAGGGTAGCAACAAGGTGGGTAAAAAGCACAGAGTAACCTGAAGAATAGGGCATCAATTTCAGTTGAATTAAACTTCTACTTATACTGCCCTTCTCCCTCCCCCCCTTCAAAAAAAAAGCCATGGAAATTTTAAAATTTAAATGAGAAAGAAAGGAAACAATTAAAATGACTAACACTTCAAGTCTCAGGCAGTTGGATGGTGGAAACAGTGAGCTTTTAACTTAGCCTTTACAGAGTCTGGAAGGCATGTCACTATCTATCACACCGTCACACCATTTCATATGTTACTACTTCACTTTATTCATGTTATGTCCACAGGCTTATACAATCAGTTCAATTCAGAACTTGTTAACTGGCTCCAGAAGATAGTTTAAAGGACTGTGTCTTATAGAAGATGTAGTTCTTAGCCAGTGAAGGAGCTTCCATACAAGACAACCTGCATTAATGATTCTATGCTTTCTACACATTAGTCAGATAACCATGTTTGATTTTTATTGACTCTTTCCTTTCAAGGTATGTATACAGAACAATATTTTGTCAAATTTCCATGTTTAGATCATTTAAAAAAAAGCACTGGATGGTATTGTATAATTTACCTTTATCCTTCAGAACTACAGGATGCTTGACTTCCTTTTCTTTTACCTGCTCTGTAAAAAATACAATAATTTGATAATAAACAATGATTAATAATTAACGTGAGAACTTGATGACAATTCCTTATCATACAGTTGGTGCTTTCATATAGACCCAAATTATCATTTAAAATTTTTGACAAAAACAGTGGTTTTGGTCAGGTTTCACATTCTTACACAGACAAACTCTAGATACTGCTTAACTACAATGTAAAGACAAAGATAATTCAAAGCATGTCCTGTATTGGCAAAAAGATCTTAGCAGATATTTCTGAATGCTGAGTTTGTAATCCTGAATCTTAATACTAACATTTCACATTGCTTTGGCTCTCTTCCTCATCTATAATTCAAGCAATAGCAATTAACTTAAATATTTCCTAACTTCTGAAATTTTACTTTCCTCCCAAATTCACAATTATAGCATACATTAAAAATAAGACAGCCATACATAATGATTTTCTCAAATACTAAATATCAGACATATGATGTCTGAAAGAAAGATGAAAGAAAGAAGATCAAGATGGATTATTTTCCTTTTTTCCTGAAGACAACTAATTGTGGATGCCATCTACCACCTCACTGAAGACATCAAGAACATTTTGAAAGAGTGTGCCTACCTTGCTATATAACCTGAGAAAGTGTGAAGAACAAGATCAATACTAAATACAGTTACGGTGCTGTGTTACTTTTGTGCTTTGTGGCAGCAGGTTGTACTTGTTTCTCTCTTACAGGTTCTGCAGAGAAATATTTACCATTTATACAATGACAAACACAAAAAACTCCTTGTTTATGAAATCCAGAGAAGTAATCCTATGAGATGATGCACCTTCTAGATACCAGGAGATAGACTATAAACTGCACATTAGCAAGGTTGGCAAGCAGCAGAATGATTATGGAAATTGTATGAAATCCACCTATTTAGCTTCACAGAAGGCTCAGTCCACCAAAAACCAATTTTTTGTTTTCATTATAAGACCCATGACATTTACTAGGCTTCACTCAGAAGTTTTTCACAGGTCAAGAATACCTTTTAACTTCAGCTCTAATGTGAAGGGAGCAAACTGACCTGTTTCCAATTCTGATCAATACTGTCTGGGTTACTCACTTCACTTATCCTATTTCTTCAAGGGACCAGCAAAATTAATTTGATCCATTTTTATCCTCCCCAAATCTTGGAGAAGGTAGCTAATATGTCCATTTTCTTCTATCTTTCCATTCCACCCTGGTATAGGAATATGCTTCTGCTCCTAGTGCTTACTTAATGCTCTGAAGTGACTCAACTCAAATGCAAGAAAGAAGATCAACTGATGGATTATTTTCCTTTTTTCCTGAAGACAACTAATTGTGGATGCCATCTACCACCTCACTGAAGACATCAAGAACATTTTGAAAGAGTGTGCCTACCTTGCTATATAACCTGAGAAAGTATGAAGAACAAGATCAATAGGAAAGAAGCAGCATCAAATGTTGTGCTTACACACATACAGGTAGGGTGGGGAATGTCAAAAGGCCTAACTAGGACAATCTCCTGGCATGTGGAAGACCCAGTGTTAAGCCCTGATCTAAATTAGGTACAAAAAGCCATTAGAAACTTTATTATGGAGGTTCCTTAGCTTTAGGATGAAAGGAACTAGAATGGAGAGCCCCAGTTCAGAATAGCTAAATAATAAATGGTACTAACAAGTTGTAGTTTTTACTTAAAGTTAAGCAGATTAGGGATTTCAGCTTTGGTCTTCTATACCCAAGACAAGTGCTACCCTGGCTTTTGAGTTTCATCTTTGGCCAGAAGTTCTATCCTGGATCTCAGTGAAGGTATTGAAGAATCAGGTTTTTCAAAAACAAAACAAAATAGGGAAAAAAACCCCCCAAAGCTCAACAGCCCTAGAGGTTGGCCCAGATCAGCCCAGGCCTTCCATTCAGGAGCTGAGATCTGGCCAGCAGCCCAACACTTGAAGGGACTGGAGATCACAAAAATAAAAGCCTAAGTCCACAAATAAGTGACCTGAGTCTCACTATAGAAGAAAGTTATGTTAGGGAGAAGGATGCAGATCAGAAACACATCAGAATTTGCTGAAAGATGTGGATAATTTCCATATCTTTTATTAGCAGACTGAAATGACATAGATTTTACATGTTTTGTTGGAAAAAGGCAGAATGCAGCACATCTCTAATGATTTGTAATTTATTACTGTAATGATGAAGCCTCTTGCTTATATTTCTGTGCGGTGCTTTTTCCAGGACAAATCTAATACATTGGAATCTGCATATGGGAAATTCAGCTATAATGAGACCTCATTTATATCAAAATTGATAAAATTGCATTCCTGTTACAGTGAAATTCCTGTTATAATGGGTCTGGGAGGAAATTATTTCTTTGAAAGAGTGGTTTTATGTAGTGATCACACATAAAGAGTCTCTTCAGACATTTTCCTTCCAAATAGTTACATTTATAAAGGAAAAGGGCTGGAAACAGTTTTCTGAATTAGGTTAAAATGTGATTTTATTGCAAAAGGTCTGTCTTTTTCTGTCTTTAAAGTAGACCCAGTGTCTGTTTCTCAAGTAATTGATGAGCCACTGGTCTCTCATTTCTGATTTGAAATGCTGTCCCTGACAATCAATAATCTGATCTAATCAAAGTAGAGAAAAGAAACAGTTCATTGTAGATGTTTGTAACATATACCCGAGGGTGTCAAGTATTAATATAAAATGTCAAGCCACTACAGTATGTAAATACCAGTTTAAAATGAACCTACATAAATCCTATGTAAGTAATTAAATCTAGAGCCAAAGCTGACTATAATCATCATTTTGTGCTTAGGTACTTCAGAAGATACCCAACAGGGATTTTATATACCACAATATCTTCTGTAACACCTAGGCAACAAAGAGATAGATGAAATATGGAGCTTCAAGCCTCACATTCAGTGTCTTTTTTGAGGAGATGTTATGTTGAGACCCCTAATATAATTCAGTTGCAGCTTTTGTGGGCAGTTCCACCAGTGTCAGAAAATACTATTGAATTATATATATATATATATATATATGTATATATATATGTTATATTTTTCAGTGTATAATTCAATATTATTTTCTGACACTGGTGGAATTAACTATGAAACTGCAACTGAATCATATTAGGGATTTCAACATAATGTCTTCTCAGAAAGGACACCGAATGTGAGGATTGAAAGTCCATATTTGATTCTCTTTGTTGCCTAGTCCAGAAGATACCTAGAAGGAGAAAAAAAAGAAAAGCCAGATGACATTGCACAGGGATAAACCCATTAAGTTTGAAAGCTTGGATTTAAGAACTCATAAGCAAGGGGAATCTCCACGATTAAGAGCACAGTCATATGGCTCCTCCAAAAGATGACACACTAATTATTTAATTTAAATATATCAAACATTCTGCACAGAAAGCCAGAATAATTTACCACTGAGGCCCTAAGTCCCAAGTGATTAGTGATTTAAAGTGTGTGTGTGTGTGGTGGGGTGATACTTATTATGATCACTTAGCATGCATTATGCTGATTCTGCAGTGATACGAGTTAGCGAAACGATCCTAATTCTGACTCTGAATAAAAAAGTTAAAGTTGAAGCAATTTTGCTACACTTGTATCACAGGATGCAGGCATGACAACATCATACAGTCGTAACAACTGGATCATAACAGTTTATATTGTGATTGTGTTATTTCTGTGTACCCTTAGTTCATTTCTTGGTGGATATGGGTGTGTCTACACAAGACATTTTACAGCACAGTAAACTAAACTACTGAGCAGGAAAGCATCACCATCTACATGTGTGCACCATTTACTGTGCAATAAACTGGTCTACTGCACAGTTAGCTAGTACCTGTAAATACAGGTAGTAAACTAACTGCACAGTAGATACCGTGCAGTAGTGCATGCATAGATGCTGACCAGGAGCAAATTTACTCCTGGTCAGCCTCTTCACTAGGGGTCTCCAGGGGACAGGGAACTTTCCCAGTCCTGGTGCTGCTCAGCTCCCAGACCTACCCAGGGTAGCTCCTCATAGAAGTCAGGAGGTGAGCAGCATCAGGACTGGGAAGCTCTCTGCTTCCCACACAGCTGAGGCCTGGCCAGAAGCTGTCCAAATTCTGGAGCAGCTCCCATCCAGTTCCTGGCCAGCTCCCAGCTGCACATGGAAGCCCAGCTGGACACAGGACTTGTTCCTATGTGCATGGGGCCAGAAGACCTTTGCAGCAGCAGCTGTGTCCTGGCTCTGTGCACATCAGGACCCTTCCTGATGTGTATGAGGCAAGGAGAAAGCTTCTGTTGAAGGTGGCAGAGCTCTCCTTGCCCTATGCACATAAGAACCAAGCCCTGTGCTCCCTGCCAGCCCCCAGGGGGAGTCTGTAGCTCCTCCTGACTGCTTCAGAGGGCCAGAGCAGCATAGAAGCAGCCCTGTACTAGGCTGCTCCCATTGGGAGCAGATTTGTTCCCAACAGGGAGCACGTGTAGACATGCTCCCAGCAGAGACTTACTGGCTGCATCTACAAGAGACACTTACTGTACAGTAGCTCGTTACTACTGCACAGTAGCTCAGTACTACTTCACAGTACCATCACCAGGCATGAACTATGATGCAACGGTACTGCACAGTAGTAATGAGCTACTGCATAGTAAGCATCTCTAGGCAACCATGCCGGGATACTACTGCATAGTAACACCAGTAACTGTTCAGTCATTTAGTACTTGGTTATGCAAGTACTAAATGACTACTCAGTAACAACTGTGCAGTGGGCATCCCATGCAGATACGCCCACTGAGCAGTATGGTCTCCTATAGACATGCAATGAGGCTGCTCCAACATCCTATAAATCCAGTGCGTGAAGCAGACTTAATTAATCGAGCCTGCTGGAGCATGGAAATTAGTGTGCTCCAGCATCATGTATTAGCATCCCTGCACTGAAAAATGGTGGCGGGGCACTTCAAACTAAAGCTTGTTCAATAAGATTTAGTTCAAAGTCCTCCACCAACATTTTTCAGTGCAGAGATGCTGATACACATGATGCTTGGGTGCTTTTAACTAGTGCATCTCCCTATATAAAGTGCCCCCCACGCCACTTCCCAAAGTACATCTATAAACACCCTGTTTTACTTCACACTAAGTCTTTATAGCATTAATAGTGTGCTAATACTGGACTAACTTCACTAGTATGTATATTCTTTTCCTTTTCTTACTCTATATTGCAAGTTAATAACTACTATCGCAAGTGTCACTTCACACAAGTGATGTCACTTCTTAGTTTTAGAGGCTCAGAAGTGCCTATTGTAATTTAAAATTTATCATCTGGGAAAAAGTGCTTTCATACTTTCCCTTGAACTTTCAACTCTGATCCCATCCTTCATACAGCTGACTCAGCTAACTGGGTAAAATTTTCTTTTCAGTTGAATCTAAGTTCAAAGCAGTTTCCATTAAGTCTTTTCTTTACCTTTCTTGTAAGAAACAATGAGAGATACAGCAATAGACTTATGCCAGAATACATTAACTGCAATGTGCTCTTTACTATATAAGAAAAAATCTGAGTGATATGCCTCTCCACTGAACCAGGTTGTGTGAATCTACTGCACCAGAGTCAGCATAGGGTGGCTATAACTGGCTATAACCAACCTGTTCAGGTGTTCTTTGGTCCAGCTCCTTACCAATCTATGCAAAATCCTATAACTGAGGTTTGGCAACGAAGGGCCAGAACTTTACTCATTTTCAT